TTTACTCAGCTTAGTTTTCAGCAATGTCCGTAAATCATTTCATTACTTAGGTTCACGCCGCAATATTACCCACATTATCCAGTGGGCTGGGGTTCCCACAAGTCAGGTTGAATGTAAAGTTCTTGCAAACATTCCAGTCTATGTTAGTGAATGAAATAGCAAAAGATCCATATGATTTGAAAGTTGTAATAGCCCAAGCCAAAGTTCATTATTTGATTGTCCTTGATGGCTTAAGGAGCTGTTAGAAAAGGAAAAATTCCAAGTAGTGTAGCAGAAGATCAATTTGTGACTTTACATTGAGATTACCGTGTGATTGTTAGCGTTGTTTAATTAAGGAGTCCTAAACTTTCTCCATTTCTCAGTAACCACAAAAGTTGCACTAATAAAGTTAAATAAGACAAATGAGTAGAGGCGGGAAATATTGTAAAAATTATATGTTTTCAATTACGAGCTTTCAACAAAACATTGGATCTTGTTATACCATCTGCGAAAGAATCGAAGTGAAACCACTTTGGAAAGACGACCCACCATGATTTACCATACACTGCTCCATTTATTGCAGTTGTTCGTGTAGCGACGTTTCAAAATATTGTTTCATATGGCGAAAAACTGTCTTATGAATCGAAGCATTCTCAATAGGGTTCATCTTTGGCCCAAAATATGTCGGTGGATTAAATTTCATCAGAATATCTCAACCTGTATGTTGGACGCAAGAAAACAAGACACACAGAAAGACAGAGAGACAATCGCAGATCAACGCAAAAAGGGATTCTGCATAAAAGACTCTTTTCATCAATTATAGCACCACATAAAATTTAACGATAAGGGAGTTCTTATCATAATCCGAAATTTGGAGAACGCCTTACTATTCGCCTGTGTCCACCATAACAATGCTAAGTAGGCCACTCTTACGTGTTTGAACGCTGTGAGGAATTTAATGCACACATAAAAAAGTAGCTATTCTAAGTCAGAAAAACAAAAAGCCCACTTATGACGATGAGAATTCTACACGGCATATGCTACGAACAATGAATATCTTCGGTCTAAGAAAAGTCCTGCTGGCAAGTGCGCAAAACTGCAACACTCTTGAAATGTATCTGGTGCTCTTATCAATGCATTTAAAATTCTTTAAATGGACTGCGAAACTTTTCTTCTTTTTAATCAATTACTACCACAAAGAAAGGGCAATTCTTCCCCCGTTAAATAGGCCCATCAAATAACGCCTTATCCGATCCGGGATAAAGGCTACAACGCTCATTCGACTCTTATCTTCATTTTATTTCATTAGTCGTATAAGGTAATAATAGATGGTTTTCTAAAACTTCTTCTTATGTCTATTATTGGTTGTAGAGAGAGGTGGCAAACAGCAAAAAAAGATAAATTAAAAAATCTGAAAACGTAAAACATATCTTTATACATTCACTACACGTCTCTAATAAATGTGTACTTTTAGGTTTGTTGTCCTTTAGTTAAAAGTTTTGTTTCCTTTTCATTTTTTTAATTTCATTACATAAGCGGGTAATTTGAAAAGGTTCACTGCACACACGTAAAGTTCTGATGCATTACACACGAATGCTCTACCTCACTGACTCACATAGTGAGTTGTTGTTAAACATAAACAAACTTGTATGCATCTGCACTTTTTGTTAACCTTACAGTCGTCTCAATTCGAATGAAAACTGAAGTTGAGTTAAATCTACACGCATATCCAAATGCAAACGTAGTCGCACACATGCATACATGCTTACAGAGAAGAAGTAATGTCAACAAACTATTGTAGAGAATTACAACCAGGATACGGAAGTGGCAAATTTATTATAAAACTCATTACAACATTTTAATGTTTGAATTGTTAGATTGTATTTTATGTATATAAACATACGTACACATATACATTATTACGAGTACACACAAATAAAACGGCAAATGCAATTGCATTATTGCGTATATGTGAAAGTAAGTAAATATTGTACGCAAGTTTCGTAGGGAAACTGGAGAGCTTTGACATGCTTAATTCCAAAAAAAAAAAAAAAAAAAAAAAAATAGAAAAATAAAAAACATTCGTAAACTTAAATACATATTTAGAATTTTGTAATTTTAAAAAATTGATGAAGTGTTCTTGAGTTTATAAAAAACGCCTAAAAATAGATAAGGAAATTTTTATGGTAAAGATATATTAAGTTCGTGCAGACGTACGAAACAGCCAGATAAAGCTTTTGCTTTACTTTAATACGAGCAGACAGTCAGGGGACGTTTCTTTACACGCGGTAATACAACAAATGAAAGGAATTGTTCTAATGGATGTGTGCCTTGACCTGGTACAGCCACAAAACACTGAGATATGAATCCGCGAAGACCGACTTGGTCGTCGGCACGTTAGCGACTTGGCTGTGCGGCAGCAAGAATCACTAGCAAAAAATCCATCATTTTCTGAAACGATTGAAACGCATCTACCCGTCCGCTTCTACGTCCGCATTCCCATCCGTCCTACGCCAGTTTGTCTTCGTTATGTCCGTTGATGTATTTTCGAGTACAATCTATAGGTTCGAATTTTTACATATCTCGACAAAAATCAGTAGAAAACGGTGTTTCATGCTACTTAATTAATGTGTGGTCTCGTACCACCTTTCACACAAAATATGAAACTTTTATTGGCAACAAATTGTAATTTTTGTATACTATTTATACATGCATCTATTTTCGAAACAAAAGTTGTAGTCCTAGATAGTAATTTGACCTTTAGATTTACTATATTAACCTCAGACCGCACACACATCTTAGGTGAAGAATTATAAGACTTTTGATAAGAAAACTAATTTTACCGTGACAGAAAACATAGTAGATTGGCTCAATATACGTAATTCGTAAGTATACGAATTCCAGACCACGCCAGGTACATATGTTTTCATCACTACGAAAAACGGAATAAACGTTTTTGTCTCTCTTTCAACCATCGATTCATTTTGACTAAAGTCCGACTTAAATTTCAAAACTTTAAAAGGTCCAGTTTTAGAAAACAACTATTTGCTTGATAACGCTTATCAGCTTGACTTAAAAATAGTGTTTTATGAATTAATATTTTTGATTAAATGAAGCTTTCAAAATTTGAAAATGTGATCCATTTAGCATTTTCGTTTTTATACCCCCCTACGCCTGTGGTGGAAAAATAACCCTGTGTGGATGCAGCCGACACAAAGACTTGAGACAGATCTACTTTTCATTATACCTGTCGATTTAAAATCACTTTTTACGTCGATCTAAGTTTGTCTATCCGCCTGTCCCTCTTGTACTTTCATGTTCAACCTGCAGGGCGCATGTTTCAAGATCTAGTGATGATATTTAGTGCACTAAGATATTTTGGTCCAAAAACGGACGCAACTAAAATGATTCGGATGGAGCCACTTTTTTGACCACTTCCCATATAAAACATTATTTTGAATGCTCGTTACATGAATTACTCTATTAAGCGATGTAGGATATTAATGCTTTTACTTATTTATTGTTATTTATCTACAATATTAAAGTTTTTTTGCGTACCGAATCGTACTGGTCTTGCGGGAAATGTGCGAGTAGGTCTACCTGCCAAATTCGTGGTTTCGTTGCCTTTAGCTACGGAAAGGACAAGAAGAAAGACTGACCTTTAAAATTATATTAGAAAAAGAATTAGCGAAAAAAATCGACAATAGTAGTCGAGATGCCGAGAAAATGAAGATTACTAAACATTTGCACAGGGCATACTTTATAAGAGCACCAACGAGTTCTTAAGAAATCTTCTCTTCCAGTTTGGAATTGTGGACAAAATATTATTATTAGATAGTACCTTGTGAATGTCAAAACCTCTCCAGTATTCGAAGATCTATAGTCAGCACGTCGAACCCAATCGACATATTGAAAGTACCTAGAGAACTTAATATCAATAAAATGTGAATGGACTAACCTTCTAGTCTATCCCTTAAAAAAAAAAAACGCCACATGAATCCTTGTTAACAACGCCCATCCATCTATCTTTTAGTGCTGGAACTTACTTCTTTAATCAAAATAAAATGTAATAATAATAATATTTTTATTTCTAGTATTTAATATGTAATATTTATAATACAGCCGAATGGAAAGAAAGATTCTCTAATAATTAACAAGAAAAGAATTAATAAGTGAAATATGCAAAAGTAATTTTTGTTAAATGACCTTCTAAGTCTGCTAACTGGTCCTAAAAAGTCGAAGTTAATCGAAATATTGACTTTAGGTACAATACGATATACGACAAATGTATATTTTTTCTTTGTCTTTAGTTTGAAACCAAATATCGTACACGAGAACTTGTAGCGAATATTGAAACAATCGACGGAAATTTCGACATCGAATATCGTTTCTTTTTCTTTTGTATAAGATTAACTTAATTTTCATTCCCATTCTTTTCTCCATTCATTATCGCCTTATGAATTCCAAAAAAACATAACTTACTTTCAATATCAATTTATCGAGAATACAAGCAATGAAAGACTGCAGTGAGCCGGGGCCCACCACTAAATACTATAATAATTACTGTAATAACTACTTTCCAGTAGCGCTCTTTGGGACAAAATATGCCAGTGTTCCGAATTTTGTCAAAATATCACGAAAATTGCGATATGGAGGTAGGACACAGGAAAAGAAATCAGATGAACGGATAGACCGGTTGAAATCGATCCGAAAGATGAGTCTATTCCAAGTCCTTCTGAGTGTTGTACACATCCGCACGAACTTAACTTTCCATTGTAGGTCAAGCGGTGTAGGGTGCAGTAAAAAATGACGAAAAATAAAGTAGAAAATCCATAACTTGAAAATTTATGTACAGAAACTCAACAAGCTAAAATAAATTTTAAAAAAATTAGGTAACAATTGTAATTGTAATTTTAAGAGAAATTTATTTTAAAAACATGTCATTTTACAGATTACTGGCGATACAGGCCTCACTTCAATCGGTCCAAACAAACCAAATAATTTTAATTCTGCATTCTATTTCACTTTAAAATTACATCATAAAAAGCGGTATATCGGCCCATTAACAAAGGGAGAGGCTCGTCCAAGGTATTGCTTTTGCAAATAACTGCATACATGAAAGGGCGATTGGCTATAAACTGCTTGCCATCTCCTATTAAAGTAAAAACAAATACAAAATTAAGGAAAAATTTTAGTATTGACTTCTAAGAAAAACGAAATGATATGAAATCGGACGTTGTAAGCTTAGCTAATTGTTAATTGTTAGTCGACTTCGATTCAACGCTGGTTAATTTAGTTTCGGCATTCAAAACTTTCGAGAGGTACGGGGCTTTGGTAAAGTTATACTTTTACTTACGCTCGGTAATGATTGGTTGTAATCAAGTACGCTCCCTTTTTTTTTAAATTTGTTAGGGTGTGAAATATATTTTTTTCCAAAGTCATCGGTGTCAATGAATCCCCAACAAATTTAATGGGTTAATTGTATTTTGGTCTGAGTGGTAATAAAAATTTATTTTCATTTTCTAATGTAAGCCATAAGTATATGTGTGGAATTTATGTTATATAAGTGAACACTTAATTGGAATTATTAGTAAATTAGTAAAAATTTTTTACCTATTATTTCAGGAGCTTTTTTAACACCTTCTTCGTGTACATCAATGAAAAATTGTACTCCCATAGCCGCTAACTCTAATTGCGCTGGCGTTTTCATCATTTTGTTAAAATCATTTGATCTATGTAAGGTACGATTCAAGCCCAACTAAGATTAATTAAGAAGAGAAGAATATAAACTGCCTTTTAAGCTGTTTTTCAAACGCATACCTCCTCCAGATGGTACGTAAAATCTCCCCTTTCTTCGCGAGAGAATCTGGGTAATTCAACACTAACTAAAGTAGTGGACATGCCCTTCAACACATCTTTGAAGTAGACCTTATAAAATTTACTCTCCATATCTACTAGGGTAGTTTCTTCATTGGGTAAAAACACCAACATTGACATGCTCCATTTCTCATCTCCTTCTTCATAAGGTAGTTCTAACACGGCAGCGTCAATTTGTGGCAAAGAAGCATAATTAAGTTCTGCTTTTAAGTGCATCATATGTATTGGGACAACTATGTTTTTCTTTACATAGAAGTCTTTAATGGCCGTATACTTTGGGGGAAATTCGGTTTTCCATTTACCCCTCAAATAAAGCACATTCACTACCAATAGCTTTTCAAATGCGAAAAATTCATCTTCGTAAACCGTAGGATGCATTAAGTTGTTAGTTTTTGATGCTGTGTACTCGTTAATTATCGCCAGAACTTTTTGGGGCTTAGAAAAAGGAACGCTTTCAACATCTAATAAAAACTTTTCCTTTAATATTTTACTGAATGTGTCTTTTATTTCATTGCCGTTTTCTATATAAATTCTATTGGCAAGTTTGACAAATTTGCTCGTTTTTAGATATGATAGACGACGATAAAAGTAATCAGCAATTTCAATTTCACTGTTTTTATTCGGATCAAAATGAAAACAATTATCTATCTCAACGCGGCTCTTACCCGTGGCACCCAAATGAAGAGCAGCTCCGGTCATTTGTATAAGGAATGGTGAAAAAACAAATTTTCGAGAACCTTCGGTCATTTCTTGATAAGTTTTCATAGCAAAATCTCTTAAATTACGATCCAAGTTTTGCGCTTGACTTCGCTTAACAAGCATTAGACTGTTTAATAGAAGTAAGATAATTGCGTATACATAATCTTTTGATTCTTTTCTCAAATTATTAGATGGCTTCATTATGCTAAGTAATTGATTTTTGAAAATTTATTTTCGAGCTCACTGATGTAAACTTTGAATGAAACTATCGTTAGTTATATGAAATATCTGAGCATACCTCCATTCACCTCGCCCGTTATCAGCGTGACAGATTTTGGCTGTTATTGTATATGAATTTAATTCAAACGACGTTCTCTAATTGAAATGCTTGACTAATTAACACTTTACGATTCTCAAGTGCGCTTAGTTTTTGCTTGACACGCTGCTCGTAGTATAAACATTGATGTTGTACCAACTTTCCAATTAAAATTTTTGAAAAGTAAATCTTACAAAGATCAATTTTGACTTCACATCAACTTATTTCTTTATTATTCGTCTGTTGCAAGATTCTGGCAATATTTATGATATATGCTTTGCATGTTGATCGCGAAGGCCCTATCGTGGCAATAGTATTATACAACTATTTTCAATTTCGAGTGCTGAAAGAGGTTTGCAACGTTGAGATGTTAATAAATGTTAATATGAAGAGATGATGAAAAACAAATCACAAGCGTTAACGGCAACGTTAACTGACAACCTATCATATAAGCTAGTGGTTAGGATGCCTGGCACTCAGTCGAAAGACTGATTGATCCTTGCTAATGTTTGGGATATAGTATCGATTTTTTTTTAAACCACATTTCCAAACCATTCAAGTTAAAAGGGAGTGACCCCTAATTTCACGTCCGTTCTTGTTCGTTAAACTATAATGTACACGCTAAGGCAGCAGGGAGCAAAGCATTTTATGCAGCACTGATAGAGGCGTATACAAACCCCTTCGTATGTATGAATGCAAACGGTACGCGAAAGCAACAAATAACGTCAGTGCCACTATGTGTGCCAAAAATCGAAAAGTCACGAAATCAGGTTGTTTTGGAGATAGGAAATGGAAACCTTATTAATGCAATATTGTTTGAAACATATGAAAGGTAATTGCTTTTGCATCCCGTCTTCGCATATGACGAAAAATGGGTTTATTAAAAACTCTCGGAATAAAGGACCATAAGCTAATCCAGCCCATCTAACAATATTAGAGCAGAACTAAATTGCTTCGAAAATGCAGAAGGTGCTCCTAAAACTGAGAAACTAGATCAGGCATGACATAATAAAGTAATTTTTCCCCACGAGCAGGCATCAGCACGGACTGCAAATCACTTAAGTTGAAAGCCTTTGACTGAGATGTGCTGCCACCCGGGCCATCCCTTCTAAAATTTTAATTAAAAATACAAATAAATGTTTCTGCCAAAAGAGCAAACACGATTTTTTTGTTGTTGGTTTAATATGACCAATCGCTCCAGGGATGTCCCCTGTTCGTATAACACGGTGATGGTCAGAGAGTGAAAGAAATAAGGCGATGATGATCGTAGCTTTTAATGGGTGTGTGCTCAACCAGTAAAGTGTTACAACTTTACCACTCACTGTAGCTACGACCAAAGTAAATAGGGTAAAATCGAATGCCACGCCTATAAAAATTGTATAAAACT